CTGTTAGTCCACCCCCACCTCTCAGATTTCTTCATAGACTTTAATTCTCACGGAAGAATTTGAGAGACATTGAAAGTACTGAGCGGGAAAAAAACAAGGCAAAAGAGAATTTACTATTTAATTCAATGTATTAACCATCTAAAAAATTGATTTTGAAAAATGGACTTTACAAATGTTAACAATCTCTGGTAATTTGCCATTTGATAAAATGGTGATTTTTCTTTTTAAAATGGATCAGCTTTCTACTCATATGCTTGATTTGTGTGCTTAGCAAGGCCCAATACCCTTTTTACTTTAAGTTGCTTAATGCAAAGTAGATAACATTAGTAGCCATTAAGAATTCTTGTGCTGCCCTGCATTGTAAGTTTCTCCTTTAATGTCTGATATGTAAAATTTGGGGAGTTTAAAAACTTAACCAAATTGCTGCCAAGGGTTTTTTAGTATTCACAATTTTTCAGATTTTAGCAAAATGATACAGTATATGTATCTTACACTATATAGTTAATTCCTCCAGTGTATATTCAAATGAATGGAGTTTCTGATAGCAAAAGCATATGACTTAGTCACATAAAGTAAGATAAATTAAAACATTAAGTGGTTTCACAGTTCTGGTCAGAATTTGCAGCCCGGTAAATGTGGACGAAATTAAGTTTGCTACCAAGGGAGTTTAAAAAAAAAAAAACACCACTTTGTTTTCAGAGCTTCTGTGATGTTTGAGTTACCAGAATTTGTGGACCCATAAAGTTTTGTTTGTTAACCAAAACCTTCTGTAGTTGTTTAGTGAATCAAGTGGGTAGTAGAAATTGTTACTGTTTTTTCACCAAGAAAAAGGTGAAATGGACAAACATCTGAACATAGTTTGGGGATGACTTAACAAGTACATCATCTCTCTCAGACTTCACAGAATCCTCTGAGACAACCATTCTTATCATCATTTTTATTTCACAAAGGCAACAGAGGAGTAAAATGACTCATTCTAATAAAGTTAGGAAGCAACAAAACTAAAACTCAGTCTCAGGTCTTTCAACTCTGGATCCCATCTTTCTTTTATCAAATCTTGTTTTCATAGGAAAAGCTTCTGATGAAGCTGAGAATTCAGGTATATTCTTGTCTAGAGTTTAACGAATATATCATAATGCTTAAAGCCTTTTATTAATTTGAATTATTTAAGTTAGTTAGAAGTGGACTGATTATTATAAAATTTGAAGTTTGTTTTGACTTTTTAGAAGTTATGTTAATTTTGAGTGTGGAATAATACGGATTTTTTTTGTTCTCCCATTGTTATTTTAACTGTTTAGATGTGTCTGGCATCAGAGGGGATGAAAATGGAAGAATCCAAGCTAATAAAAGCAAAAGAATCAGATGGTGGAAGAATTAAAGAATTGGAGAAGGCAAAAGAAGAAAGAGAAATGAAAATGGAGAAAACAGATGAAGCCAAGTTACAGAAGGAAGCAGAATTTGAAAAATCAGCTAAGGAAAATGCAAGAGATTCTAAGGAATTAAGAAATTTTGAGGAGATGCAAATGAATGATATAATGGCTATAAAAATGGAAGATCCCAAAGAAACTACCAAGGAAGACTTAGATGAAGATCAAAAATACAGTCACTTCCCTGATTTTTCTTACTCTGCCAGTAGCAAGATAATAATAAGCGATGTTCCCAGTAGAAAGGATCACATGTGCCATCCTCATGGAATTATGATCATTGAAGATCCTGCAGCATTAAACAAACCAGAAAAGCTAAAAAAGAAAAAGAAGAAAAGCAAAGTGGATCGACATGGGAATGATAAATCCACACCCAAGAAGACATGCAAAAAGAGGCAGTCCTCAGAGTCTGACATCGAGAGTGTCATATACACCATTGAAGCTGTTGCAAAGGGAGACTGGGGCATCGAGAAACTTGGAGAAACCCCTCGCAAGAAGGTCCGCACATCCTCAAGTGGCAAGGGAAGCATTTTGGATGCCAAGCCACCAAAGAAAAAAGTGAAATCAAAAGAGAAGAAAATGTCAAAGGAGAAATCCTCAGATACCACCAAAGAGTCAAGACCTCCAGATTTCATTAGTATTTCTGCCAGCAAGAACATTTCTGGTGAGGTGCCAGAGGGTATAAAAGCAGAACCATTGACCCCCACGGAGGATGCATCACCACCCAGCCTATCAGGACCAACCAAGACGGAAGACAGTGACTCTCAAAGAAAAACTGAGACTTGTGGCTCCCGGAAATCCGAGAGGTCTTGCAAAGGTGCTCTTTATAAAACCCTGGTGTCTGAGGGCATGCTCACCTCTCTGCGAGCCAATGTTGACAGAGGTACGTGACTTCTGCAAATCTGAAAGGAGTATGGAACCCTAGCAGAATTTCTCCTTTAGAACTATTAAAAAGAACCACCATAAAGAACAATATGGTAACAAAATAATATTTTACATTTGTACAGTTCTTTATGGTTCATAGATCACATACATTTGTCATTTTACCAACATGTTTTCTAACACCATTGAGGAGAGTTGGTATTCATTTTGTAGGTAGTCTTTAGGATATAAATGTTTGATTCAGACCTTTTTCTTTTCCTTTTTTTTTTTTTTTAACTGGTATGAGATGGCTTTTTGTTTTGAAGGATCCATATTGCATGTTTGGAGCTCTTACTATGTTTTTTAAAATTGATGGAAAAAATTTCCTGAATCAAGAGATATGTTTGGCAGAATCTTGACCTGTAGGCTCTAGAAGTAAATAAATTAGCTAACACTCTCCATTAGGTAATCAAAACTATAATTGAATAAGGCTTTTTAAAACATAATGGTATTCAGAAGCCAGTTAATGTGTATACCTTTATTCCATAGAATGTTTCATATAAGTTCATCTACTTTAAAATACAGCATCTGGCTGGGGCATTACCTTTTGCCAAGCTAAATTACGACTAAAGATGTGCGAATAATAGGTCTAATAAGCCCTGAGTGAAGATCCTTGGAAGTACAGAGTTCTCTAGGGATGGCATTCCAGTAAATCTTGGGGAATTAGAATTAATAGTGCAAAGGGCTCTCACACCTTAGGCTGATTCATGAATGGAAAAACTAGTAGCCTGTCTCTGGAGTCACACAGTACCTGTTCAGTTATGACTAGACAGCTTGTACCAGAGGCTGTAAGTCACTTTTTTGCATGTTCTGTCATTAAGAGTGGTCCATCATGAATCACTCTGAGAACTCTGAAATAGTTACAAATAACATCATGCCAGGAAGACCTAAGGGGTCAAGAGTTTACTTGCAAAGCCACTAAAATGATTTCTTCCTAACCCACTGTACTGAGCACATCCTTTCTCTTGAATTTTATTAGGGAAGCGAAGCTCAGGAAAAGGAAACTCTTCCGATCATGAAGGGTGTTGGAATGAAGAAAGCTGGACATTTAACCAGAGTGGGACCAGTGGTGGCAAGAAGTTCAGGAAGGCAAAGCCAAAGGAAGACTGCCTCTTTGGGTAAGTGCCCATGAGCACAGTCAGCTGCACTGCACAGACCCCAAGTGCGGTAGGGTCTCCACGGCAAACCGAAACCTCTTAACTGCTTATTCCTTGAGTCTTCATTCATCACTTAATATAATCTTAGTAAACACATGAGGGAATATGATTCAGATGTATCACAGGATTCCTAGTTGTCAGAGTGACAGCGTCTTTCACATTTTAAATTATCAGACTTAGGCCTGAGTTAGAATCGAGGTCCACCCTGTATTAGTGGTGTGACGTTATAAATCCTTTAATAGTGTCAGGATGGATTTTCTATTCTGAGATTTACGGTGGATATTATATAAGTATGTTCACATTTTGCCCATTTACCTACTATACGTACTTCATTAGTGTTTCTAAAGCCGTGTACATATGTTTGTAAAGTAATGACAGCTGAAATGTAAGGTAAATAAAATAATATTTCTCTGTCTAACCTTGTTTTGTTTAAACCATGTTTTGTTGCTCTAAGATAAAAATACCAGATTGAAGATTCTCCTGGTACAGAGAGTATTCAGTAATTAATTATATATTGAAATGTAGTAACAAAAAATAGCATACATCAAGGTAAAATTATTAAGAATTATTTCATTTTTATGGTATACTGAAGACTCTTAATACCAATCTCGATATAAAGCATTTTGCAGGTTAAGTTAGGAGACCCAGTACTTTATATTGGTGAGGAAAGCATCTGAATATTCAGTTGTACCGTTTTGAAAATCCTTTGAGATTTCTCTTAGCCTAATTTGAAAAGAATACATTGAACAGAAATAAATACGTTTTTATATTTTCCATATTTTTTCATAAGTGTGTTTAAAAGTATGCAAATTTTATGCATTGGGAATGTCATATTTTGTTTATTCATAAATATTTGCATTTCTGTTTATGGGATAATATATTTTTTCCTTGGATGTTACAGTGCTTCAGAGTGTTTAATTCTAAGGCTCTAGGTCATCACAGAGTGGGAGGATAGAAATTATTTCTCATGATAATGATCCCTCAAGATTATTTATATCTAGTTGATATACTTATATTTTATATATTTCCTTTCTAATGCTTTTTAAAGTCCATGGTAGTTGAGATTAGTTTTGCCTACATTATGCTTCAACAATGGCATGAAAATCCTCACATTTGTCATTGTCAAGTGATACTTTCAAATGCAGAATTTCCTCAAAAAGTGACCGTTGAGCGTCAGGACCAATGCTCTCTATCTTCTGGAGCTACCAGTGCTCTGTGTCTACATGACAAGAGAGGAGCAGCTCTCATTTCAGACACTGTGAAGTCTGGGAGAGGGAAATAAAGCAGGCACGAAGGTTCCCCAACAGAAAGTTCTCCAGTGCTTCTACGAGAAACTGCTGAAACAGAGAGAGATGTTTTCACCGGTCATCTTTGAGGAACAAGAAAAGTGAAACAATTTTTTGAAAATCTGTCTCTGAAAAGAGATCGCTGTGTGGGTTGTGTGTGTGTGTGTGTGTGTGTGTGTGTGAGAGAGAGAGAGAGAGAGAGAGAAATCATTTCTAAGGAAGCCACATGTATATAACTGGGAGTGTGGTTTTCTATAGGCTTAAATCAACAGTCCACTTCTGATCTTTCTTTGTTTCTCCCTTTTAAATAATGGCCTGTCAGAATCAGACTATCTGGGTTTGCCTTGTTTAGAACATGCAAACATAGTGCATGAGCAGTGAGAAAATGCCAGTTCCTGACTCTGAGATTTCTAAATGAGCATTTTAAACCTTTTTACTGCAGAAAATGTACTACCTGTTAACTGTAGCCAAGAAAAATTCACTCGATATTGGCAGTTCTAATTTTATAAACTTAGCCAAGAAAGACATAGGCGATTATTTTAGTTGAGAAAAGAAGAGTCCCAAGGGACCTTAGGGGTTACGTCTTGCATTTTCGTATTTTTCTTTTGGTTATTCAGAGTATCTGAAAATTCACAACTTATAGATAGCTTTCTGATAATCTCACTAGTATCAAATAGTAAATGATTTTCCATTAGTACAAACGTTTTTGTAACTACTCACGAAAAGACTGTTTTACCAAGGAAAGAACATCACCCCCACCTACCACCCTTTACATCTTTGATAGCGCTTAGTGATGGCCTTTTGCTGTTGCCCATTCTGATGTTTATCTAACTGTCTTTATCTGTGCTCCCCCTCTCTCATACATTTCTCCAAAACTGAGGACAGCAGCCTAGCACATCAGCTTTGTAAGTTGCTACTCAAAGTTGCTGTCTTCCCAGTATGCCTTCCATTTTCCATCTCCCAAGCACAGTGATCCTCCTGCAGCTTCTCCCGTCTGTTTAGGTTGCATCTGAGTTAATAAGTCTCACTGTAAATGAAAGCCAACAGCCAGCCTAGGATCCAGCAGGCATGCTGCCATTGCTGTGTAGGGGCCTGAGAGACCGTCAAAAGCAGCCCAAGGATTTCTCAACTTTGCTGGTGGCATTTCTGAAGTCATTTGTAGTTTGTGTTAAAGCAGTGTTGCCTCTGTGCCAGTGAAAACTGGCTTTATTTTTTTCACTGTTTTTTCCTCATCCTAGTCAACACTCCAGAATGTTTTTCTAATATTGAAAATATTTGTTTGAATTTTCTTTGTGTATGTTTTAAAGTACTAGTCAATAAATATTTTTTTAAAAACGAATCTTACAAAATTACCAATATACCATATTACCAATAAGCTTGCCAATGTAGGTACATATATATGAGTCTTTAGAATGAGATGCTTGTGTGGATGGAATATCATTTTATATTGAACCTAATGAAAAATTCTCAGGCCAGTGGAGAGAGTGGCAAATTCTACACTTCAAAAATATTCGGATATTTTAAATGTTTCTGCTTTTCTAAGGTAGTAAGGTAATAATATATCATGCGGGTTTAACTAAGAAAACTATGTTGGTAAATCTTCTCAAGCATTTCTGAAAAGATGTTTTTTATCCTTGCATAGAATTTATTAGTAGTGCCCTAATCTCAGGGACCTTGTCTTCAAAAGAAATATCTTAAAATATATCTTCTATCATTTTCTGTGTAAATATTTATATTGTGTGATGATTGATTACACTTCTTCTCTTTTATTAGCATATCAAAGTTGGATGAAGAATTTGAAAAAAAATTCAACAGCCTTCCTCAGTATAGTCCTGTTACATTTGACCGTAAATGTGTACCTATCCCAAGAAAAAAGAAGAAGACAGGAAACATGCCCTCAGAACCGACTAAAACCAGCAAAGGTTAGATGTGTGCTCTCTGATTTCTGGTATTGTGGTCACATTCTCCACTGAACCCTCTTCTTAGCTTCTGCAGCTCCCTTTAGCTGCGTAATTGGATTTCGACTGAGGCATAGCAAGTTGGAATTTCAGGTTGCTCTCCAAGATTATCTTGGTTCCTGTCTCACTTCTCTCTCCTTTCTTTCCTTCCTAATTCTCTTCAGCCTCTGTCCTTTGACATGTAACCTTATACATTTGCCCTTAAAGATGTAGCTTTATTGAAAGTGTGACATGTGGTCTTTGACCTTCTGCTCTCCAGAATTTTAATTTGGAAATGTTGAGCTTTTCTTGAACAAAAACTGTTGTCTGCATCTAATTCTTCACTTCCCTGTGTCTGCAACAGGTTGGACTCTGGGAATATGAAATCATTCTATTTTCCTAATAAGCATACTCCATTCTTTATTGGCAGTATGAACCAAATGAAAATAAAATTCCCTGTAGTACACTGGCAATATCTTTATTGGTTTTCTTAAATGTAGAAAAATGCTGTCTTCAGCATATTTGTTTTCAAGAATATTGGATTCTCCCCTTTGTATATCAGGGAACTTTAAAATTCGTCAGGGGCAATACTGTAGTTCAAAGGGGAGGGATTAAAGAATGTAGGGTGTTTTCAGTGGTCTCCAACACCTGGGACCACTGTGATATTTGTGATGTGCAGGAGCTGGGGTTCTAAACATCCTAACCTGCTAAAGACACTGAAGCACAACAAAAGATTGTACTACTCAAAATGACAATGTTGTTCTCATTTTAGAAACTTGTCTCCTAATTTTACTTTAGGTCTAAAGTTTGGTGGGAAAATGTAACTGTAGTCTCTCACACAGATGTGAAAGATTGCATTCGGTTTTCTCTCTTGTAAAGACTTTGAGTGGAAAGATGAAGAGCTTGTGTTGCCAAGCTTTTGTTGCTTTCAGGATCAAATTCTGAGCAAGATTTGATGGAAGAGTTTTTATAATTACCCTGCAGAAACGGCTGCCTGTTGCCTACTTTATGTCAAATCAGATTAATTCCCTTTTGTGTATTTTGGACGGATGGCTGGATGGACGGATGGACAGACGGATAGACGGACGACTGGATGGATGGATGATGCCTGGCTACAATATGATATATATCAATACATCAGCCTTGCTAAATTCTGGCAGCCATGGATAAATGATCAGAGATAATGAGGAGGTACAATTTCATGGATTTTGAGGGAATTTTATAAGGTATATGTCTAGGGAAAATTATGGTTTCTTCTCTGAAGAAACCTAAGCCTTTCTCCCTCGAGACCTAAAAATCTCTTTGTGTGCTGGAATTGATAACAACTGAGAAGGATCGCTTTGAGAGCTGTATCTCAAGATGGCTCTGAAAGGCTGAAGAAAGTTCCCTCTCCGTGATTAAAGGCAAAGGGCAATGTAAAAGTGATTTTAGCTTAGTTTTCCTTTGTGGTTAATAAAAAGAAGTCTGGTGAATAAAGAACTAAAACAAATGTTGCGTCACCAAGTTTGCTTATCTGGGAAAATAAATAGTGTTGTGTCACGATCTTTCAAGATAAATGGGAAAGAAATCCAGTAGCTTTGTTGACAGGTAGGTAGCTGAACACTATAATGGATTGATTACCAAATGAAATGATAGTCTTTGTGCCCTAGGGATATTTAAAAATAGGCAAAGTAGTTCATGAGTTCAAAGATGCCAGGTATCTTGACCTCCCATAATTCTTTAAAGTTGTTGATAAATACCTGACAAGCAATAAAATGGAACTTGATTGATTGATGTGCAGGATGTATTCTCTTTCTCTACTTGTAGTTCGAGACCTTCATTTTAGAGCTCTGAAGAGGGTTGAATTATCTATCAGGAAATGTAGCAATAGATTTATTTTTGTAAAGCTGTAAAACCCCCGGAAGTTAGGATCTATTTTCATGAGACCTTCTCTTGGGTCTTAGTTACCTGTTGTATGTTTTTTCTCTCCCAGCTAAGATTAACAGTGTTTCTTTTGATGTGAAATAGCTTTATGGAGCTTTGGATTGTACTTCATACATCATCTTAACTCTTCTGTTATGCCTCTCAAGCCACGAAGTCACTGGTTCTTCTACAGTATGTTAGTAGTTATGCAGGTGGTAAGTCTTTTAAGACTTTAGAGTTTGCTCTGCATTCCAATTCATGGAGCAAAGTGCAATTACTATAAAGCAGAAATTAATATATTCTCTGTTTAGCAAACTAAAGAAATAGTATTTATGACTGATTGTAATTTGGCATTAGCAGCACTAGTGTATTATCCCACAGGTTATTAATGAAATTATCATACCAGCTGTGCTGTAATTACCTGATCTTTAGAGATAGAGGAGATTGTTTTCTTAGACTGTAGACCCTTCGCACCTTTGCATAATGAATCCTTCAAAGCAAAACCTCTGTATGAAATCATTAGTTCATTAGTAAAAGAGCTTGTGTCCATAGGAAACCTTATTTTTCTCCAACAATTCACCATTTGTATTTTATTTTCTCCTACATTTCTTATTCAACATTCATTACATTTTTTTTCTGTCTGTACTAGGTACTTCTTTTAGCTACTCCAGGTTATATAAAATGTATAGAATTTTTTCAAAATACAATTTCTAGAGGAAACGATTATGTATGCATTTATACTGTTAAACATCTCAGAATCATAGTACCTGCTTAGGTTTACACTTCTCTTTTCTCAGTGGTATCCTTATTATATTCAAATTTCCAAGTAGTCTCTTCCTCTTTCTCACTGTCCCCTCTACTCTCTCCGCCCCTGTTCCTTATAGCTATATATTGGGTCTTGTCAGAAACTCTAAAACATAACAGGAAGAAAATAAATGTTACCTTCTCCGACAGAACTCAGGCTACTTATAGTAGGGAAAACACAGTGATTTAGAAATAGAATTTCCCTTTGCTTCTAAGAACAAATTATCCAGTAAATTATAATACTCCCTCTCACAGTGCAGTTCAGCTGAAGCAGCCCATGCCTACATGTTTTCTGGTTTATTTCTCACAGTTAACCTGTATATATTCAAATGATAGCTTTAAATTGTAAGTCTAAATTTAATTGTAACTTCATAAGAGATTTGTTTTGACACATTATTTTAAGTATACTGTTAATGTTTGAAGCACTTTTTACAAAAGTATCAGAAGTCAGGAGTGCTCTGCAAAATAGTAATTTTCAAATGGCATGGGGTCATGGAGAAAAAGTTAATTGAGTTCAATTTAGAGTGTTTAAATTATGCCCCAGCTTGACCCTTGACTTCACTTTTCCTCCTTTATCTCTTCTATCTTCTCTCATTGTTTCTTAGCCAATTATCAAGCATACTGTTGGGCTTTCTCATGTTTTTCCAATCCATACTTATATTTTAAGATTGAAATTTCAAATGCTTAAGGATTTGAGATTTTAAAAAATTGCAGTGGTAATAAAAGAAGCAGGTTTACAAAAAATTAACGGTTGGGGACAGAATGCCCTGTTTGGGAATGAGCCAACATGAGGGTAGTTCCATTGTTAAAGGACTGAGACCTGTTAGCCAGCCAGCCTTTCCTGTGAGGAATTAACAGCTTCCAGATTGGGCAGAACTCTGTATTTTGTCTTGTAACTGTTTGAGAGCCACCAGACATTTTCAGGAATATGACAGCACATTTGCAGATATAAACAGTATACTTAATATAACCCTGAGTTCTTTGACAAGGCATATGTGTCCAGCCTAGTGAGGTGGCTCCTTCCCCGCCATGAATTCTAACTTGATTATGGCTGGTTTACTCAAGCTCGTTTAGGTGAGCAGATGCGCATGCCCAGCAGCTGGGAGCACTGCTATAAATTATCTCAAAAGAATTCATTGTTTCATTGGTTATTCATTACTTATGTGCTCATTACAAAAATGACAGCCTAGTTTTAGAATAAAATCTCTCCTTTTTCTAGCTTGAAAACATGAAACTGTAGAACCTAAGAATGAGCTACCACCATTCGAGTTATGCCTCACATTTGTTTCCTACAACAGTTCTAAAGAGCAAGGTTCACTTAATTCACCTTACCTGCTGTCCTTGAAGTGTGGCCATACCAGGCTAATACTGAACTGGCTCCTGTGTCACTACAGCTTTTAAACCCTCCCTCCCCTCCCCCAAATGTCTATTTTTCAACAAACCATGAATAGCATTAATGTTCAGAAAGGTTATTGTTATGTGTCTGTGGCACCCCTCTTATCCTCTCATACTGTTTGTCTCTGCTATATTCTACCCAGCTGTGAAGTTGGTGTGCAAAACAGGTTGATACCTTCAAACACAAGCCATCCTGCCCCAAAACATTCTAAGGTAGTTTACATGCCAGCGACAAGTGATTTTGACATAAGGAGGCAGAGGCTCATGCAGACACTCTTGCAAGAAATTTAGTAGGAAGACGAGAGACAGAGATGGGAGGGATACTTGAAGTGGTAGTTTAGCAAAAGACAGTTGCCGATTCTTTGCTTTCTGAATAATTCCTTCTAAAATTCTTTTCTCTGCTTCTTACTTCCAGCCTTCTTTTCCCTGCATGGAGTCTCAATATTAATAATTAAGAGAAAAAAATAGTAAATTTTTGTATGTTTGGTATTTATTACAAATTTTGACCTTTTTTTCTTCATACAAATGAAGAAAATATCAAACATATGCACCATACTGGTGGGCAGAAATGAAGTTGTTCATTTCTTGGCTCTAAAATTGCTGCTCATTTTCAGTGACTACTCCTTCAAGTTTTTCACTTTCTTTGTTATCTGAAGCTGCTTACTTGATTTGTTTCATAGCTATAGATTGAGATGGCCAGGAGCAAGGAAGCTTACAAATAAAAGTTTATAATAGTTCCTCTGTGTATTAAACCATTCTGGATGTTCTTTTTTCATGTTAAATTTGAAAACTCTGTCTTTAGTTTTGTCCTTAAATTGTATTTTTTAGATTTTTCTGAGTGTGGTTGGGTCTAAAAATGTGAATTCGTCTTTCCTAACCCATTCCATACATCAAATCAGTTTGCTTCTGTGAACCATTGCCTTATCACCTCCTCATACACAATGATGAATACAGAGGTCATTCTCTGTATGAGCCCATTCCTTATTATTATTAAATTATTTTCCTACAAGTAAATTATTAGGGTCTTTATGGTCTTGAGATGTTTCCGAATTGTTTTTCTGTTCTTTTTCTACTTCTCTTTTCTGTAATTACCTATGTATATATCATTCAGGTGCACAGGCCTGCAATTCCCTTGGATGTATGAAATATATGAGGTGCAGTGATTGTAGAGAATACCTATAATGTTAGTACAGTATGTACACATGATATGTTTTCTTTGTATTTGTTAAATTTCTTTTCTTTCTCTTATTGCTCATTTTTTATGGGGGAAAAAAAAAAAGCCAACAGGAGGCATTTTCTGTTTTCAGCCACCATCAGCCAATTCAGAAGTATTTGCTTGCTGTTGTTAATTTAGAAAGATGGCTTGGTGTAGTCATCAAAAGAACATTTGTACAACTTTGTGTTATCAGTAATAACGGCAACAACTGTCATTTCTCCAGCTCTTTGTGCCAAGCAGTGGTTCTAGAGTTTTATTTATTTGTTAATACAACAAATATTAAGTACAAGTCATGTGCTAAGCACCATTCTAGACAATCTGAATAAACCTGTAACTAGTAAAGAGACTGAATTTAGTAATCAAAAAAGTACCCAGGAAAAAAAAGGCTAGGCCCAGGTGGCATCACCACTGAATTCTACCAAACATTTAAAGAAGAATTAATACCAATTTTTCACAAACTCGCCCAAAAATTAGAAATGGGGTGAGGGGACACTTCCCAACTCACTCTATGATGGCAGTATTAGCCTAATGTTAAAGCTAAACAAAGATATCTTAAGAAAGAACTATAAACCAATATCTCTTACAAATATGGACACAAAAATCCTTAACAAAAGACTAGCAAACCAAATACATCAACGTATAAGAACTATACTCCATGACCAAGTGAGAATGCAGGGTTGGTGTAATATCCAAAAATCAATTAAGATACCATACTGATAAAACAACAACAACAAAAATACATGATCATCTCAGCAGATATAAAAAAAGCATTTGACGAAATCCAACACCCTTTCATAACAGCCAACATATTCAGAGTAGAAGGGAACTTCCTCAGCCTGATAAAGGGCATCTATGGGGGGAAAAAAATCTACAGATTCAACCCAATCCCTGTCAGAATCCTAGCTTACTTCTTTGTAGATGTTGGCAAGTGATCTTGAAATTAATTAGGAATTGTGATGGGATCAAGAATAGCAAAACAATCTTCTCAATTTCAAAACTGGCTGCAAAACAGTAATCAGGACAGTCTGGTACTAGCATAAAGATAGACATATAGGTTAATGGAATAGAACTCAGGGTCTATAAATAAATCTGTATGTCCTTGGTCAACACATTTTCAGCAAGGATGCCAAGACTATTCAATGGGGAAAGAATAGTGTTATCAAAATATGGTGCTGGGACAACTGCATATCCACATTCCAGAGAATGAAATTGAGCCATTATTTACCTCACATAGTATATAAAAATTAACTCAAAATGGATGAAATACTAAATATAAGGGCTGAAACTATAAAACTTTTCAAAGGAAACAGGGGTCGATCTTAATGACCTCAGATTTGGCAATGGATCTTTTGATATGACACCAAAAACTCAAGCAACAAAAGATAAAATAGGCGAATTGGACTGTATCAAAATTTAAAACTTTTGTGCTTCAAAGGACATTAATAAGAAAGTGAAAAAACCTCACAGAATGGGAAAAAATAATTACAAATCACATATCTGATAAAAGACTTTTATTTAGAATACATAAAGAACTATTACAACTCAAGAAGACAGACAACTCAATTTAAAAATGGGCAAGTTATCTAATGTTTCTCTAAAGAACGTAAACAAATGACCATTAAGCACATGAAAAGGTGCTTGACATAATTAGTCATCAAGGCAAATCAAAACCACAATGAGAGTGATACCACTTTACATCCTTATGATGGCTTTAGTCAAAAGACAGAAAAGTGTTAGTGGAGTGTTAGTGTTATTAAGTGTTTATGAGGATGTCAGTCATGACAGTTCTCCAGAAGGTTAAACAGGGAGTTAATCTGTGACCTAGCAATTTCACTCATAGATATATGTCCAAGAGAAATGAACACACATATCCACTCAAAAGTTAGTATATGAAAGTTTATAACAATTATTTACAATAACCAAAAGGTATAAACAACTCAAATGTCCATCAACTGACAAGTGGTTAAAACAAATGTGGTATATCCATACAGCAGAATATTATTCAGCCTTAAAAAAGGACTGAAATACTGATAACGTGTTTTAACAAGAATGAGCCTTGCAAACATTAGTGAAAGAATCTAGATATAAAAAACCATATTATATGATTCTATCTATATGAAATTTCAATAATAGGCAAATCTATGTAGAAAGTAGATTAGTGATTGCTTAGGGATAAGGGGAATACAGATATAGGGAGAGGGAATAGCTAAAGGATATGGGATTTATTTTTGAGGTGATGTAAATGTTCCAAAATTAATGATGGCTGCAAATATATCAGTGAATATAAAAACCATTGAATTGTGTACTTTGGACAGGAGCATAGATGGGTTTGCCTCTGACGGGAAGGCAGAACATTTGGGTGCTGGTAGGTGGGTAGATGCAGCAGGGGTAGTTTATAGAGCTTCTAACTTTTTTAATCTTCACATCAAGCTTGTTAGGCACTATTATTATTCCCATTTAAAGATCATAAAACATGACTTATATAAAATGATTTAATCAATTTTCACATAGGAATATCAGCAAAGTAGAGAAATAACTTGTTTGGGGAGGTCAGTGCTGCTATTGGTGACAGAAAAATCTCCCTTCTGATTTCTTTATCTGCGAAAACTAAGATGTAATCTGAGATTTCTCTCTCCACCCCCACCCCCTAAAAACATGTTTTGGCCAATATTTTTCTCTTTTTAAATCACTTTTTTCTTCCTAGAATATCTTCAGAAAAGGCAAGAAATCTATCTAATGCTGTCAGGCCAGCCGTTATCCTGAAAGTGCTGTCTTTGTGAAAATCAGTTTCTTAGGAGAGATGGAATGCCCATGCCATCCTTTTCTTCATGATATTTAGGAATCAAAAGTAAAATCTTTTTATTACAGACTGCAGCTATTCTGCTGTTACTAGTTGTGGTCTGTCTCTGTCACTAAATCTGCAATTTCTGCTGAGGGAGTCCTAGCCCTAATGGAGGCGTCTGCCCAATACATTTTGAAGGAAAATCTCACTGGGTTTTATCTAAGCCTAAATGAGAAGGCTGAGCGCTATTAAATGAATAATGATGCAAGATGACACTTCTTGTGACTCAATTTGCTTATTCCACAGGTGGGAGGAGGATGTAACTATTTAGAAACAGTATTGTTTTTTGGAACATTGTGGGTTTAAAGTATATTTATATTAATATTGTCTGTAGGTCCTTTCCAGTCTCAGAAAAAGAACTTATTCCACAAAATTGTCAGCAAATATAAGCACAAAAAGGAGAAGCCTAATGTTCCAGAAAAAGGTATTGGTGCCTTCCATCCTCCATTAAGGTTTCTTGGCCACCTCCATTGTGAATTCATCTTTGAGTAATGCTTCTGTGCACTGCCTATGCTTTTTCTTCCCCTTTGCTTGCTTCCATGTCATCAGCTCCTGATGCGGGCATATTTGTTATTTCTAGAATCTGCAGCTAATTGCAAAGAGAGATCTTTTACTTGGATTTGTACTCAAATCCCATATTTGTCTCTATTTTCAGAGTTCGACATGAAACCTAAAATTGCCTTTTCTCATATGTATTTTGGTACATTTTGTAATTTAGTCTTCTTGAGCTCTTATCCACTTATTTTCTTTGACTATTCTCATTTTTCTCATGTTTGGCAGCCTTCGTACTTCATACCAGAACCATATTTTCCCACCTCCTGAAATGTTACAGTTTCGTATTCATGTAAAAGTCCCACGGTTTCTATGAGTTCTCTGACACTTGATTCTTGTCAAGGAGGATTCTTCCACTCCTAAGTCATAACCTCCCTCTTTTTTCCCCCCATCTATATACTTCTTCATTTGCCAGACTCTTCTTCCTGCGGCCTTCAGCCACATAATTGTTATTTCCAGATGGCACTAGAGATGTATTGCTCTACATTCCGTTTACTCTGAACATCTTTCTCATTGTTATGATTTCAATGGGCTCTTGAACCTCTTCAGGGCTCACCTGAAGGTTTTTTTTTCTTCACATAGTTCAGGACTCCTACTCTTGTTTCACATAAAAGAGAAATCTCATCTCGTTCAGTACAACCACATGTCCTGGGAGTCAGGCTTTCTTTAGCATCTCTCTGCATGTTAGTGTCGTGACTACCATGAGCCCACTCATCCAGTGCCCATTTGCATCCTCCTTGCATGGCCAGATGTGAAGGCTTTCATGTTTTTGGAATGAGGCTTTAAATGCAGCTAGCTATTTTTCATGTGTAGACGTATGTGCATACGTGTTCCCGTATGTAACATTTTACTTAATTTGGGTTTTATTTTCACCTCCACTTTGGCCTTTTAGTTTTGTTTTGTATATTAATATTTTTTTCTCTGCTTCCAGTGGATAGACATCACTCTTTAGGTAAAATGTCAGCTTTTATCATTCCCTTTTAACTGATCTTCGGATTTTCTTGATTAAAATCATGGAAATTACCCAACAACATATTTCATAAAAGGCAAATTTGTTTATTTTTAATCTGTTTTCTATATATTGACTAATTATTTTAGTTGACAGATGTAGTTTTGAGAATTAAATAGTTGAAATAAAATTCTGCTTCATTTGTGTGATGATGCTTTTTATTTAAGTAGTTTTATATATTGTTATTTTTGTAGTGTATGTATTTATGGTAGGAGTAGAGTTTCACTTTCTTTTTTCTGTCATTGGTTTTAGGAAGTGGGGATAAATGGTCAAACAAGCAATTCTTCTTGGATGCCATTCACCCTACAGAAGGTACAGTATTCATTGTTATCATTTCAGATCATTTGTGCTGGAAATGGCATAATTTTTATAGGTTTAAAAAAGATATACATTATATAGGTTCAACCAACAACATTAGGCCTGAGTGTTCGTTATCAGATTATTTTAAATTTTCAAATCAAAAGTTATATATTTTTGGCTTTGCTAAGGGGCCAGCAGTGTGTCATGTGGAGTTAATTTGTCAAAGAGGGATTTGTAACCTTTGAGCCACTGTTACCAGATTTTTCATAACTAAAAATATTTCGTATTGCAGTTCATGTTGCAGATGCTTGTGGGAGTCAGAACAGAGCAAGTGTGGGGCTGTCCTGGTTGTCTGGGCATGGGCAGGCCCATGGCAGTGGTGCCTGACCTGAGCTTCTTTCCCAGCCCACCTTTCATTACCTCTGAATATGTTCAAATGGAATGCCCCCGAGTCTCATGTATAGCCGAGGAGAGGTCCTGTATCAACTGGTATAGCATTCTAGGTCTTAGGCTCAGATTTTATTTCCATATGACCCACAGTCATATTTATTTGCATGTTATGTAATTTCTATTAAAGATCTAGCCCTCAGGTGAATGCTCATTTCTGTGACGGTTAAGGAGCCATCCTTCCCTTTTTCCCATTGATTCCTTTTTTTCTATTGTAGATATTTTTAAAGAGCTGACCATTTTTATGGTGCTTCATTTAGGAGGTGATTAACTTGAAAACTAGAAGGGATCTTAAGGTCATCCAATTCGGCCCCTTTGATTTACTTATGCAGAAAGGGGAACTTAATGAACATTCTACTTCTTTTGACTCCCAAATACACTTATACCTTTATTAAAAGGAGAAAAAAATTAAAATGCGCATTTAGCCTAAGTCATTTATCGAAAATACTGAAATTTGTGTTTATTTTATTGTAAACTTGGAATTTTTTTCTTTGGTAGGCACAGTTCACATGAGCCACATGTCTGCTTTTATGTAGTCTACTTTTACAGAAAGTGCCAGCAATATATCTGTTTTCTGACCTGTTATTTCACATTAACAACCTCTACGGAGTGTTATTTCTACACTTAGCCAGCAAAACAAAATATGAATTGTTGTACTGCTCTCAGCATTAAATCTTGACATCCCAAAATTGGTATACATTAGCTCTTATGTATTTTAAAAATGTTCTATACAGACTTGAAAAATGTAAGGCACTAATGAACTATAAGAGGAATCTAAAGGAGGCATTTAAGACTGTATTACTTCTTTCTTGAAATGGTACTGTTCTAAATGTTTTCTTTTTTTTAATAATGAAAACCCTATCTCATATAAAAGGGGGTATCATAGCATGTGCATTGTGGTAGAAAGAATGAATTAGATAGGAATTAGAAGACCTGGCTGCTAGTCTCAGACCTGTCACTAACAAGTTTTTTTTTCAGTAGGACAAATTGTTTAACCTCACTAGGATTCACTCTCCACATTGGTACTAAGTGTGTATGTGATACGTGTATTTAGAGGTGGGGTGAATGATGAGGTGTAGTAATACACGAATCATAAATTTTATTTCCCCTCTAACACATGATGATTTTATTACCATGCTATCCTGAGTGGGTGGCGTTATGCTGAAAGTATGATAGTCTAAAGCCCTAATTTTCTGCCCTTTGCGGGGCGGAAAATCTGTAAATCAATTTTGAGTCTTCTAGGCAATACCAAGTGTCTAGTTGGAAATAGAGTTATTATTGGTGATATTTAATCATATTTATTATTAATGTATATGGAACAGAACTTTGGAGAGCATGCACTAGAAATTGCGCGTCCTTTACTGTAGAGTGCAGATTCATTTTATGTGGCCAGGAAAAAAGGAATCAGTTTGAGCATTGGAAATTACCAGTAATTTAAAGTGACCCTTTTTTTGTTACTTATTTTCATACCATCTCCTACATTTACTTGATCGGATGATAACCATGCGCTTTGTGAATTATCTAGGCTCTTTATTTCATCCTCTCTCTCACCTATGGTCACATCACTGCTTATTAAAACTTTACTTTGCAGAGTATAAATATATAAGGACAGAAAATGAAACCGTAATCAGGATAATTTTAACACGTGTAAGCCACCCTAGGCAAAGGTTAGACAGGAGCTGTTTGTAGCTGATGCCTGTAATAGAAATGTTGATGCAACAGTCTACGCAGCTGTTCGCTGTTCCTGACTTCTGTTAAAGCGGGTGACCTAAAGTTCACTGTGCTTTCTTTATACCACCTCGAGTATAATTGGCTTGCAATTCATATTTTTTTCAAAATATCAGAAATTTTTAGGTGCTTAGTAATCACATCTGAGGTCTAAAACATAATCTGTTTAAGCATTTTCCCCATGCTTTTAAAACTCAAAATCACTAAACCATTTCTTGAAACTTCTGCAGATCATAAAAAAGATTGTGTATAGCCTAGAATTAAAGGTAAAATTTTCGGATAAACCAAGATGACCTACCTCTGCCACTGTGTTTATCTTTCCACCAAGTTCTAGTGTCATATGCTAATGCTTAAGCTAGAGGTTTCTAACTGTAATAATGATGATGATGATAATTAATACTTAGTATTACATTTTAGTTTCCAGAGGACTTTGCATATATTTTTTGTGAAAACTAGTCTTGACAGCAGCCCCAGTGAATTAGGGAGGGCTCATTAACCCCAAATACATGATAAGGAATTGAAGTGTGAGCAACATAAGCAGAAAGGGAATAAACCAGTATTCTTTCCACTAAACCACATGGGCCACTACAGTTTCAATTTTTTAGGCATATCTGTAGATGACCCTCAGTTAGCCCTGATGTTGAAATTATAAATCCTATAAGAAAAAAAAATCCTCAGACTAGGAATCTCCATAAGATTTGTTTCTTTGCAGTATATAAATCTCATTGCAGGGGAGAAAGTCTGGTTTATAGTTAGATTTCCGAACATAAACCACAATACTCAGGCTAACTTGATCTCTTTTCTCAACTTCAGAATAGTTACTATATAATTTGAGTAACGTCTCCTGGGATCTTAGATAAGGTTCATTCATTTGATTCTTTTTCCTGTGTTCCACTCGGCATCTGACTGCATTTTCAGCTCACAGGAGACCAACCACAGGCAATGAGATTCTGGATTTGGCTGTAATAATTTCAGTGCAAGTTTGATTCCCCTGGTTGGAATGTGAATTCATGATTCCAGAGCACTCTGTGGTCTTCTGGGGTACAGTACAAAAATCTCACTCCACATTTGGGGAGCAGAGTTTGGAAAACAAGAGTCTCTTATTGCCACATCCTTAATGATGCTCCTGGAGTGAGCTCACATTATCACTCTCAGATGATACGCTTCAAGTGTGTTACGATTATCGTGGAGTGTGAAAACTAGCCCTGTGGACTTGTTTTGCAGTGCTTTGGGTAGGTTTGTGTGTTCAACTACAAGCTGAAAGAGAAATGACTAATTTGTTTTTAGACGACAAAGCCTTTTTTCCCCACATTTCCATTAATTTATCAGGGAGAAAAAAAATAAAGAAACTGGCTTGTTCTCTTGATACTCAACTTCGGGCTTTTTCCCTCTCTGAGCTTTTTTCCATTCCCTGTCCCTTAGCAGCAAGCCTTCATTTGCTAATGTTGCCAGACTCAGATCTGCTGTTCTGTCCAGACAACTACTTCTTTGACTTTAGCCTTCCTGCCTTCTCCAGTTCTTCTGTCTTGGGAAGGGTTCTCCCTAAGCGCTGACAATGAAGGCTGTCATTGGTCTAGGCCACCAGACAAGACAGGATGTTCTGGGGATAACCTGTGGCTCAAAGCATGAAGCAGGACCGACTTTCACTTCCTTTTCCAAACTCTAGCAAGATCACACACCTGGTCAGGACAGCCTGGAATTAACCTCCTGAGGGCAAATATCTTATATTACATACTCTTTTCAAATATAGATTGTCTGCTGGGCCTGCGATTACTTCTTGATCTGACAGTGTAGATTCAGAGAAGACGCTGTCTAGAGAGGCGGTATTTCCTTCGTTTTGGTGATTTTCGTGGCAGCCTGCTTCACTCCTTTGTTATCTCCCGGTACACCAACCTCTGGGACCTGATGGTTGCTGGTATCTGTCAGCTGATCTGCCTTTGACCCCCTGGTTCCTTGTCTACTGGTCTCTGAGCTTCCCTTATTGCCAGTCTGCTTTTAGGCCTGAACTGTACCTCCCATCTTCCCTTTGTTGCCATCCCTTGGCTTCTTCTTGTGTTTTTACCAACTCATCTGAAACACACAGGAAAAGGAGTAACAATTGAATAGAAATGAAACCATTTGAAGGCTCACCAAAAACAAAAATGCTAACAGTCCTAGTCAAGGGAGTACTCTTCCCCAGCCTTGTGCCTCTGCAGCTGACTGAAGACTTGCTTTTCCCCTGGTTGGGACCCTGATTCTGGGCTATGTGGCAAAATGAAAAGAATTTCAGGTCTGTGTGGCTCCTTTATAGCAGGGATCCCAAACACCCGGGCCGTGGACTGGCACGGGTCGTGGACTGGCACGGGTCCATGGCCTGTTAGGAACTGGGCCACATAGCAGGAGGTGAGCAGACATTAAGCAAGCAAAGCTTCATCTGTATTTGCAGAGGCACAAGGCTGAGGTAAGGGCAAGCCCTGAATCATATTTGATTTATGTTTTTACATCCTTTCTGTTGATGTAATTAAAATTATTTCCCACTTATTTTGGAATGGGCAGCCTGGAATTAACCTCCTGAGGGCAAATATCTTACAAATTCATAGCCCTCCTTTCTCACGAATGTACCTAAACCCATTAAGGAGCTAGATTAAAATTTTAAAAGAAGGCTATGCAAATATTTATACCAACAAGTGCATTTTCACACCTTTATCCTTGCTCTGTTTTTACCCCATTATTACAGCTTTTTTCCTTCCAATGTTATGTATATTGTCTTATTTCCAATGTCTGCCTTCATATCTATCTTCTGATAAGCACCTAAAGTTATTCTCTAGGTTTAGTGTGCTCAGAGTTTTTCATGTCAGACCTTGATTTTCTGAAGCACACTCCCCTCTTCTTTATTAAAAAGGATTTCTATGCCTGTCTTAAGAGACTGGATAGTTAAAAAATAGAAGGATGCCTCTTTTCCCTGCCCAAGAGTCATTAGGCCACTGGAATAAAAAAAGTCCCAGTCATGAAACTTGACTACGTATATGTACCCCTAAATACTTGCTATACTCATAATCTGCATATTCTTGTCTTACTTTGAATTTAAGGGAGTGGAGGGAGAGATGACCTCCTAAGGAAATGGGTATATAAGACACAAGCATTCTCAACCTGTTTGAACTGGAAACAAGTCTTTGGTGTCAAGTGTGTCCCTTACTCTTGACATAGTGATTCTTAGGATACAAGTATGTGTATTGTTAAATGATTTACTGATATTACAGTTAGAGTCAGGGTACCTAAAACTAACCTTTCCAGGAGCCCTGCTGACATGTGGTACTTCATTACATGATCTCACTAAGCGTATTCACCTGCTCCTAGAATTCAGTGATTAAGGGAGTGTTTCATTATATGCTGGCTTCACCAGTGTTTGCCAGGTCCTTGCTGAACAGTCAGTATGGAAAAAAGGTCAAGCCTCAGTTTTTTTTCTGATCAGTCCAAGCTGGTGATTGAAAGCAGACATTCCAGTGATAACTGGGAATTTAAGAAATACATATTTAATCTCAGTTTCTTCAGAAGAAGAGAAATTTCTTTATCATCCTCTCCAGACCAGCTGGCCAAAAGGGTCTTAGATTGGGCCCCTGACCATATGTAGAAATTGTGGCCAGTTGGGACATAATTTATGCAGATTTGCAAACACTGTCCTCCCCACTGAGAAGATGTTATTCCAATAGCCTTTTAGTTCAGTTAAAGGTGGTGGTGGTGGAGTAGGACTCTTAATTCTCTGTACTTAATCTATCAAAGCAAGTATAAATAAATATATTTGTTGAGAGGTATGGGTAATGTTTTATTTTTTTTCCCCATTAGTACTTTGAAAACTAAATGAAAGTTCTGCGTTCATTCTGAAGTGTCAGACATTTAGAAATGTGTCCTCTCAACAGCAATGTTGGTGCCTTGTGTTTTTGTGTGTGACTATATATGGTTTGTCCTATTTCAGCCATATTTACAGAAGACAAAAACACCACAGAGCCTGCTCATAAGATTAAAAATGCAAAATCCCTACACTCCAGAGCCAACAGCAGCACAAGAACCGCTGGTGGGCAGCCAAAAGAGAAAAGCCAGGAAAACCAAGATCACACACCTGGTCAGGACAGCAGATGGCCGGGTGTCACCAGCAGGAGGTACTTTGGGTAAGAAGAGGGAGCATTAGACAGAGATAACCAGAGCAAGCAGGTGACCCTCATGGCCACATTGGCCAGCAAATGACTATAAGCAAACTGAAAAATGGGCCTGTTCTGTGGTTTTTGTCACAGTAACATTTTCTCCGTCTAGATCTCTCGAGAACTAGTTTTTTTAGACTCCCAAATCTACATGTTTTAGTCCATGTTTTAAATGATAGATGTTTTTCCAAGAGCATGTCTGAAATTCCTAGAAAGGAAAAGTAATTTTTAAGACTGTCAGTTTCTCCTTCCTTTTCTCAGCATGCACAAAAACAGTCTTGGTTAACTAAATTCCCGAAGATCTTAGGCTTTTAAAAAAAAACTAAATGAGTCGGTATTTCTCCATGGTTCACTGTTCAAGTCACTATGAGCCAGATTATCAAGTATTTAAACCAATGAATTAAGACACCTTAGAAAGCATCCACCACTTGTTGTAAAGCCATTCAGACCATCAAGGGAGCTTAACTTTCAGTGAATTTCTCCATTTTCATTTGTGGCCTGTGGTCTGTTTATTGTTCCTGGTGGCCTCCTTGGCAGCAGAACTGCCTGAAGGCCCAAGTTAAAGAGTGGTATCAGAGAGTGACACTGAGCATCCTCCCTCAAATCTTGGACTGCTGCACTAACTATGGGTTAGTGATCTTAGATGCTGCCTTTCTGCCTTTTAGTACCTCTAGCATCTTATTCTGTTAACCCTGAAGGAAGTGTCCCTCTTCCACCCTCATCCAGTTTCCAGAAAGAGGTTAAAAGTCCATAATGACTTCTATAAAAAAAAAAAAAAAAAAAAATGTTTAAATGAGTATTTTGTGAGAGTAATGTTTATAAATATCTGATTTAGATTAATGTAGTTGTTAATAGAGATTTGGTGTTTGCTGAGATAGAATTAGAGGACAGTGAACTTCGTGCACTTGTCTTGTGTTTTGCATATGTAGATTATGAGAATCATAAAGCATATTAAAGACCCCCAATTTTACCCTATCATGTAAGAAATGAAGCTTAAAGGGGTGGAATTTTGTTTTCGAATACTTCAAACAACTAAGTTAGAAGTAGGATGAGATAGACTAGAATCTAGTTTTCCTGTTAATCCAGCAGGCCCCTCCTTCCTTCCCTTTCCACTCTAGGTTCTGTTTGTGATTTTCATTTTGTAAATGGTTATAGCCTCACTCTCACTTATAAGAGTGAAAGATTTTAGAAAATATTCCCTTTTATGTAGAAAAGCACATAGCACTTTCATGTTAATTTAATATATGACATTATTGGCTTTATCAATCATTTTATACCGTTAACATGTTTTAAAAACCATGATAGAGATTTCTCTTCCTTTATAATGCATAATAAAGTGTACTCGCTTCCAATGGGTATATTCGCAGAGCATTTCAGACACCTCTTCATAAATCTGAGAGAGCCTTTTATCTTCCTTCCAAACAAAAATGTATCTTCAAAACAAAAATGATAAATTTTGATCTCACTGGAATTGATTAATCTCATTGAGATTATTGTTTGCCATCCTAAGTGTTTAGTGTCACAACATACTGAATGTCCAAGTTGCCACAGTAGGGAATGGCATCATTAGAAATATTCGGTCGGTTGGGTTTTTAAGGGCCCTTTTACAGCATCTGTAGGCCCCTCTTACAAGTCTCTTGAGTTTTATTTTGGCCAAAACCCATTTCTCCTTCTCACTCCAAGATGGACCTATTTGTTGACCTTGTATAAAACAGCTTCTCTTCTGCTCAGCTTCGGGGCACAGCGCTGCCCATAGCTGCAGTTGAGCTTAATAAAAAAAATGTTGTTGCTGTGGAAGAAGAGGTTCTGTAAAAGCCTTCATATTCAATGGATGACAAAAGGGAACAGTAAAGAATATCAGTTCATTTCACCTTGTCTGGCAGAGTTTTCTCTGTGTCTTTTCTCTGGAGAGAACAGAGAGATCTTCTCGTAATAGATTTCCCTTTCGTTACAGAAGACAAACCAAAGGAACAACTGCAGAGGAGTCTGCCTAAAGTAACCGCGACAGGCTGCAATGACGAATGCGCACACAGCGCCGAGGCTGCAGAGACGCGGAGCAGCACTCCAGAGATGCCGGCCGTGTCTGCGTTCTTTAGCCTGGCCGCACTGGCTGAAGTGGCTGCCATGGAAAACGTGCACAGGTCAGTGGTGGAACGCCTTGCTCCACCGGGGTTCTGGGGATCCAGCTCAGCTTCACCCACTTCCATAGAACACAGTTGGAGAAAGCAACATAGAAACCTGAATCATCCTTTCTGACATAATTGGTGATATTTTTCATAATGTATCAGTGTTCATAAGACCTGGTTTAAGAGCACTTTTGTTTATGTGACACATTACAAAAGTGCTGTACTAACGAGCAGTGTGGGAAAATATCAGGGACTATAACCAGCCAAGTATTTTATTTTGAATATATTATTCTGTGGCTAGACTTCATTTCAGTAAAGAGCTTGAGAGAACAGAGAGACAGTATTATTGTCTAATCATTAAGCATGAGATTTGGGTTTGAGTCCTAACTCTGTCACCTGCAAACTACAAAAGCCTTGAGCAAGATCATTCACCTCTTTACCCTCCATTTTTTTCTTCTGTAAAATGGAGATCAGTGTCCCAGTGCTAGCACACAGTAAGCACCGCCAATGAGGATGGCGTTGGTGGCAGTGATGGTACCACCAAAAGAAAACAGTGGAAGAAGAGCATTTTGGCATCTGTCGTGGCAGGCAGAAGGCCTGGATTTTTCTTTCACTCTCTGTGTTTACTGCAAAGTAGTTTATTTCTCTCTCTGGGCCTCAGTTTTCTCATCTTACATTGAGCATAATGATATCTCTAAGAATCACAGCGTTCTAAGGATCAGCCAGGATCATAGGTGTGAAAGCTTTTTGAACTTGGTAAAGGCTCACAGAAAGCATATTCAGTTCTAAGTGCATAATTGGGTATTCTGCTATTTAATGGATCCTTTAGGAAGGCAGAAAAGCCTTTTGTAAACTCAGATAGTTCATATTTTTATTGAGAGCGGATTACCCACAGACGAGCTACTTTCTTGGCCTTTCAGTGTTCAGTACAAAAGAGCTTGTACAAAAGAGCTTGAACTCTAGTACAACTTGTATACCCACCTAGTGGGCTCAATTCTCCTTTTTCACACAGGTTTAGGAGGCCCTGACATAAGCCTTGTTTGCATCTTGCTCTTTACCTGTCACATTACAATTCTTGTGCTTCCTCACAGATAGCCTCTAGATATTTCCAAGAAGTCAAATTCCTCTTTCATGTGTACACTGCAAGTGCCTAACAGCAAGTGAATGCTGACAGACATTGTTAAAATCTGCTTTAAGTCTCTTGAGGGAGATAACACAAAGACACTTCTCCGCTCATGGAGTTTTACAGTGGAGTACGAAGGACAAACTCAGACACATACAAAAAGAATTAAGTATATGCCTGAGGAGTACTAACTGCCCCTATAAATTGTGGAAATATAAGAATTCCAAGGGGCGTCATGATTCAGGTCTCAGAAAAGGCCACCACACATTCACCCTTGCTGCTGCCAGTGTTCCCTTGTGAATATGACTGTGGCCATACCATCGCTGTCAAACAGCCTTCCGTGACTTCCACTTTGCAGTAGCAGAGAGCCCCAGCTTTTCATTCTCTCCACCACCGCCACCGCCTCGCCTCCGTGCCCCACAGTCATATGGAATCTCTTGATGCTGTCTAGATAAGCTAATCCCTTTGTACCTCCTCCTTTCAGGCTGCTCCTCCATCCAGCTCTCGTTCTGTATTCTCTTCTCTCAGTCCTCCTGAAAGCCTCTGCATTCTCCGTACATACCTTTCTTACACCACCTGTCATGTTAGTTAGTAATTATATGTTAATGCTTCTATCTCCTTCCAGTATATTCTGAAAATAAAGCACTTATTTTATTCTTAATGTCCTCAGCTTCCTTAGTTCCTGTTACATCAGTGGATGAACGAACAGATGAATGAGTGAATGAATAAATGAGGTGTTAATTAGCTAGCAGGCATAGAAAACATGATTTTTTTTTTTTAACCTCTCCATTAGAAAGAATAATATTGCTTACTAGAATTTTACCCCCCATATAACAAATGGTTAGTTTTCTTAATATCTAGAAAGGCAGGATGCGCTCTCACCCCGCATCCCCAAGATTTTTAGTTGTAACTTTAGCCCCCATACCTGTTAAAGCAGAGCTGCCAGGCTACTCTCTGCCTATAGACTTAATGTAATCGTACCTGATTGCACATCAATTAATTATTGCTTAGGCATCACCTGAGTTTCATGATTTAGAAGGGTGATCAACAGAGTTAGAGGTAGAACTATATTATCTGCACGAATTTGTCACAAGAAATCTTAACATTAGGTTCAGAAACCCAACATAGAAAGTTTTACAAAATGCAGCAAGTTGGAACTTGAGTAAAACTTTGTTGAGAGCCTGTTTATTTATGAGGAGTTTTATAAAGGAAAGTTCATTAAACTTTATCCTAGAATCAGCCCCACCAGGTTGGCCTTTTTTGGCCCATTTTAATGATGGCCCAGATAGTTAATTAGCTTGCCAAGAGCACACAGCCAAACCAAGGTAACATTTGAACACAAGTCTTTGAACTCCAGTGTCTTTGCCTTTGCTCCAGTGTGATGCTTTAACAAGTACCTCTCATGCCATGGAAAATCACAAAGATCCTCCCCTAACCTTTCCTCTGGACACTGGATCCATCAGTTGCAGCCACATCATTCTCTCCCATCACACTCCTGGCTCCTTTTTCCAGTGATTAAGCTGGGCTTTCCACTTCAATTTCCCTGTTTCGCTCTCACTCTATCTTTGTTTTCTAGCTTATACTTTTTCATCTTTCACTTTCCTTTTTTTTTTTTTTTGTTTCCTAAGACTTATTAAAATTTTTTTGGCTTTTGTAATATTACATTTTTAATCTTAAAGGTAAAAAAATATTACTGTAATTTCATCTTTCTTGAACAGATTGAGCATATTGAACAGTTGGTACTTACAGCATCCCCACAATGAATAAACAGATTAATCCAGGGATTTGATTATAACACACGTTTTGTTTTTCTGAAATCTTAATATCTTAGGCTAAGTGATCATTGGATTCTGAAATCCCCAAATGTTGTCATTTATCTCCATTATTTTTCTTATCTGTGCATCAGGAGAATGAAATTGGATATAGTTATGGAGCATATGTAATTCGAATTTTAAAATAGCACCTTTTGTTATACATAATCTGAAGATACAATATTGAAATGGTCAAACCAATGAAAATATTGCTTTTATACCTCCTCCTCTTGCTGTGTCACCCATTTTCAGTGCAGTGATGTGCACTGCAGACCACCTTAGGCCTGAGCAGTGGGTGTGCATCATATGGGCTTGGTAGGCCTGTTGGGAGATGTCAGAGAGGTTCCCAGTCTTATTTTTGCAATGAGACCCTCCGTAGAAATTACCAAGAATTTTGAACAGTTTATAATAGTTTTGTTATAACCATGAAATAAATTATATTTTTATCCTACTCATTAAACAAAATCTGAATGAAAAATCAGCTGTGTCCCATGTATTTCCAGGAAGGATGAGTTAGCTAGCCGGCATAGAAAAAATGATTTTTTTTTTTTAACCTCTCCATTAGAAAGAATAATATTGCTTACTAGAATTTTACCCCCCATATAACAAATGGTTAGTTTTCTTAATATCTAGAAAGGCAGGATGCGCTCTCACCCCGCATCCCCAAGATTTTTAGTTGTAACTTTAGCCCCCATACCTGTTAAAGCAGAGCTGCCAGGCTACTCTCTGCCTATAGACTTAATGTAATCGTACCTGATTGCACATCAATTAATTATTGCTTAGGCATCACCTGAGTTTCATGATTTAGAAGGGTGATCAACAGAGTTAGAGGTAGAACTATATTATCTGCACGAATTTGTCACAAGAAATCTTAACATTAGGTTCAGAAACCCAACATAGAAAGTTTTACAAAATGCAGCAAGTTGGAACTTGAGTAAAACTTTGTTGAGAGCCTGTTTATTTATGAGGAGTTTTATAAAGGAAAGTTCATTAAACTTTATCCTAGAATCAGCCCCACCAGGTTGGCCTTTTTTGGCCCATTTTAATGATGGCCCAGATAGTTAATTAGCTTGCCAAGAGCACACAGCCAAACCAAGGTAACATTTGAACACAAGTCTTTGAACTCCAGTGTCTTTGCCTTTGCTCCAGTGTGATGCTTTAACAAGTACCTCTCATGCCATGGAAAATCACAAAGATCCTCCCCTAACCTTTCCTCTGGACACTGGATCCATCAGTTGCAGCCACATCATTCTCTCCCATCACACTCCTGGCTCCTTTTTCCAGTGATTAAGCTGGGCTTTCCACTTCAATTTCCCTGTTTCGCTCTCACTCTATCTTTGTTTTCTAGCTTATACTTTTTCATCTTTCACTTTCCTTTTTTTTTTTTTTTGTTTCCTAAGACTTATTAAAATTTTTTTGGCTTTTGTAATATTACATTTTTAATCTTAAAGGTAAAAAAATATTACTGTAATTTCATCTTTCTTGAACAGATTGAGCATATTGAACAGTTGGTACTTACAGCATCCCCACAATGAATAAACAGATTAATCCAGGGATTTGATTATAACACACGTTTTGTTTTTCTGAAATCTTAATATCTTAGGCTAAGTGATCATTGGATTCTGAAATCCCCAAATGTTGTCATTTATCTCCATTATTTTTCTTATCTGTGCATCAGGAGAATGAAATTGGATATAGTTATGGAGCATATGTAATTCGAATTTTAAAATAGCACCTTTTGTTATACATAATCTGAAGATACAATATTGAAATGGTCAAACCAATGAAAATATTGCTTTTATACCTCCTCCTCTTGCTGTGTCACCCATTTTCAGTGCAGTGATGTGCACTGCAGACCACCTTAGGCCTGAGCAGTGGGTGTGCATCATATGGGCTTGGTAGGCCTGTTGGGAGATGTCAGAGAGGTTCCCAGTCTTATTTTTGGAATGAGAACCTCCGTAGAAATTACCAAGAATTTTGAACAGTTTATAATAGTTTTGTTATAACCATGAAATAAATTATATTTTTATCCTACTCATTAAACAAAATCTGAATGAAAAATCAGCTGTGTCCCATGTATTTCCAGTTGATTTGGGCTCAAGTTGACTGGATTTTCTCGCACTCTAAAATTCACTTGGTACTAGCCTTCTTCCCCCTGTAGATTTTCTCTACATACGCCTGTGAAACTTTTTTTTTTTTTTAAGTTCGGAGGGTTTCAGTGTTTTCATTTATTTTTTTCAGAGTCACTGTCCACCTCCTTTTCTTTAGGAACCATTACTTTTATTGGCCTTAAGTTTTAAATTGAGTTTATTATTATACAGCTTAAGAAATGAGCCTGAAGGTTATCAATTAGTATAGGAGAGTTTTCCCCTCAGGCAACTCAAGGAAAGGAACATGTCATTTTTTAATATCAGTGGATCAAGAAGATTATTGTCCCAGAACCTCAGCCCTTGATGTAAACTTTCCCACGTAGGGAATTTCCTCAAATCCATTGGTGCTTCAGGTTTTATCTTGACAATATTCAGTTGAGGACAGAATATGTTGTTGTGTTGTGTGAGGGGAATTGAGATAAGAAATCCTAGAGAGAGAGAGAGAATGCTCTAGAGACAAAATCGGTTTTGATTAAATGACATAAGTAAAAAGTCAGCAGTAGTGATTACACAAGATATTGGAAAGCTCTTTGTTATTCATCATCCTCTCCTATTTGTGATAGCACACACTGAATAAGTGATTTCTTTTTTTCTTTTGCTTTACAGAGGTCAGAGGTCAACTCCGCTCACCCATGATGGCCAGCCAAAAGAAATGCCACAGGCTCCTGTACTTATTTCCTGCGCTGACCAGTGAAGCGCCCTTTAATTGTAAAACATTGTGCTTTACCTACTACCCTAGCCTTGTCTTTACCGAGGGATGCTAGTGAATCCATGTGGTGGAAAATATAGACTGCAAACAAGTGCTTGTTACCCTACACGGCCCAGATTCACTTGAAGCAGAAGTTAGCCTCCTGGGCCCATTTGTTCTTTCGGAACTCAGATTCTTTGAGGGTGATGTTATCTGTCTGATAATGAACAGAAATGGAATGATCCTAGAGCTTTGCTTTCTATTGAAGGCTTTTGACAGTAATAGGTGGTAACTTGGTAAAAGGCTGCCTTTACTGTAGCTCATCCAGCATCTCTTTTACCAACCAGAGAGTGTGAAACTAGTTTCGTATAATACCTAGTTATTCTTTCAAAACAAAAAACAAAAAAACAAAAACTGACGCACTGCACTAGTTATTATTAGATATTCTTAGTCTTTTTTGTACATGGAGATTTGAGTTATAAGATGGTTTATATAATAGGTTATACCTACATTTATATTGTAGAATAATATTAAAAAGCCTGTTGCGAGACTCCCACGCAGCACGGGCAGGCAGATGTACCATTGTTAGCGGTGTATGCTCGGCCTCGTGGTCCATATATTCTGCACTTTTATATTTGCCACCAGAGTGGTAGTTTGCTGGCAAAAAAAGAGAGAAAAAAGTTACAATTCTTACAAGCAGAATTTTTTTCTTAGCCTTGAGTGACCAAGAAGAATTTGCTTGGGGCAAATTGTGGCAAATATTTTCCCAGACAGGGGAAGAGTCCTGCAGATTACTGATTACTGGTGTTTTCATGCCTTGAGGATTCTTTTATTTTTACACAAGGGTCGAAGTGACCAATGGATTGTTCATACAAACAAGAAAAAAAAAAGAAAAATATTATTCAGAAGTGACCTTAGTATTACTTCACTATTCTGAACACATTGAAGACACTCACTTCGTGTGGACGTTGAGCCACAGACTTTTTCCATCCATCCCAAACTGGACGGGTAGCAATTGCTATGCACAGCCTAACTGGCACTGCAGGTTTTTAGAGCCATTTTGAGTTTGTGTTGTTAAGGAGGTATTGAGTAACTGATAAGGGAGGTGTGCCTGACCAGAGTGGGAATGTCAGTCATAGACCCACCTGCAAGTTTCTGTTTCCTTTTTGTGTTTTGTTGCTTTTGAACATAAAACCAACCATCATATGCCAGTGCCAAGTGGATTAACTGGCTTAGAACATTCAGCATATCGACTTAACCACCTGACATTCACAGTGTCTTGTTTCCTAGCAACAGATGCAAAGTGATAAATCAAAATTAGTCAGAGGCTACAGATTTTACAGGGTATTTGTACCATAGCACAAAGTATTTCCCCACTCTTACATCGTAGCACAAACTACCAAATTTCAATTATTGGATTCCAGCAATAATTTTTATTGGTTTTCAAACTGGCGGAATTTTGATAGTGTTAGCTCAAGTTTGAAGCTTTTGAATTAGATCTCTAAATGATGACAGTTTACAAGGTTTTATCTAGCTTTCTTATTTATACTTGACTGAATTGTAATGATGATTTTTTTCTAATCGTAATTTGACCTAATAGCCATATGAAAAATGACTCTAGTAGTACTAAGTTTAGCTTCTCACTGTTGTAGATATTACTACACTTTCAGTGCTGGAAAATATGTGCAACATACTAACAGAGTTGAAGAAGCATATATAGAGAGAGGTTTTTTTCAAAGCAGGTAAAGAGGACAGCAGAGCATTGGAACAGTGTTCTCCAAAATACATACTCATTGTGGGTGTGGAGGAAGAAGGAATTAGTAAGCAAGGTTAATCAGAGGTTAAAGCTTAACCCCATTCACATAGAAATAAATCAGGTGAGCAGCCCCAGATTTCAGCATAATGTTTTTACTACAATGCTGTTTTATTAATATTTTCTAAATGTCAAAACACAAAGTGAATGTGTAGAAATTGCTGGGTCCCAGTGTTGGTGGCTGTTGGGAGTTTTTGGACCACTTGCTAGCAATGATTTTAAAATTATTAGCTAAAATCCAAAAAAAAAACCAAACCAACAACAAAAATTGTATGGTGCAGAACATGCATCTTGACAATGGTACTAACTTGTTATTCTATAGAACACGTTAGAATAGGTCTATTTTTGCCAGAGCACCCTTCTTCAGTCCTCTGATTACATTTCACTAGAGTTCCTCAAGAGATTGCTGTATATTCATGGGACCTTTTTTTAAAAAGAAGCAAAGCAAAAGATTACTTTTTTCTATGTGATTAATATCTTACTTGATCTGCTTTTCCTAAACCTCAGTGGCTTTTCCCTTAGGCAGGGGTGGGAGGGGGAGGGCAACAACTGGATATGACTGTTTTCAAATACTTAAAAAAAAAAAAACCTTTTTGTAGAAATGCTTAATTTTTAAGCGGTTATTTAGGCACTGAGAGTAGCAGAAATCCTGCAAAGCTTTATAGACCTTTAGACACTCGCCTTGTCGTTTCTCTGAGTGGAAGTCTTGATTTCAATATTAGTGCTTTTCTCATGCCCTGAATCCTCTGGGAAGGGGTGTCGGTATTTTCAAGTAACAACATTTGTTAGCTTGAATATTTCAGACCAACATGTAGTCCCTCCACCTTTATCATTTTCATTTCATTTCTCTCATTCTTCTTTACTTTGGAAAATTGTATTGCTATGGCGTGTACCTTAATCTGCCAGCAAACACCATCTACACTAACATTTGTTTCATAAGCATCCTCAAGAGAAAAAGTTGTTGCACCTTATGTATATCTCAAGCAAACCAAAATATGCTCTTCTGCTATGTTTTATTCTAAATTGTTGTATCATATCTTTCTGAAACCATTCTGATTTAGTTGAAATTATCAATATTTATGCTTTTAACCTTAATTTCCGGATTCAAACCTGTATATAAATCTTTTGAAAAAAACTGTCCTAGCCCTTCTCTGTGATGCTGGAAGTGGGTGATTTAGTCTCAGATGGAGACACAGTACTGTTTCAGTTTCCTTTAGTCTTTTATTTATTTAGTTATTCTGGATATTTCCTATGTAATTTTGAAGTGTGTAGAGTATATTATAGTAACTGAAGCTGAAGCTCTAAGAAGCTGAGTGAAAGAAAAAATACTGTAAGACATCCTTTTAAAGTTTTTATTTGTTTGGATACTGTAATGAGATCAGGAAAAGGAAAAATATGTCCCACAGCCACATTGAAGGTACAGGTTCTTATCCCCAAATTAGGTTAGTTCCCAGATTTTTAGATCAAATCTATTAATTCATTAAAGCCCCTGTTGTGATTCTGACAGTCTCTTCCCCACCCCCACAAATATCAGGAATATTTTATTTTAGTTCTGTCAGATGAGCTTTCTACCAATGCCATCTCAAAGCTGAAATACTGACATCATTCCCATGTTACCGCTGATACTCCAGTTCCTGCCATTAAAACTGCTGGAGAAAAAAAAAAAGTGATGGAACACTATGAACAACAAGGAGCATCTGAATGGCCTAGTTATTTAGAATCCAACATGTCTGATCCTGTTATTTTCTTACATGCTACTCTGCCGAAGTCACAAAATTTTGTTTGCACTCTGCAGTCGTTGGCTCATCGTATGACAATGTTTGCATCTCTGTAAAATCTGAAGCAAATTATAAATTGATACAGAACCAGAAGGAAGCTGAAAACTGAATGACATGTTTTGTTTATACAGTATGTGTGGGGGAGGGGAGGGATGGGAAATATCAAATTGCTGTGTTCCAAGTTTGGCATTTGGCATTAATGTGAAGCAGTGGGACCATGCTGCCTGCTAAACTACTGTATGAATCCTAAGTGTTCTGGAGACCAGCAGCTAGAGGCTAGAGGCTGGAGGCTGGCATCCATACACCAGAGGAGAGATGCCTCCTCTTCACAGAGAATCAGGAAGGCAGAGAGGAGAAAGGCCTGGATTCCTCGTTTATAAAAGAAAAGTTGGGGTGTATGTGATACTCTCGAGGAGATTCAGCTTTGATTGCACTGCTCCACAGAGCCCTCAGATAAGGCCAATCCTAATGGGCTACCTCGGCTTTAAAAGTTAATTTCAGTTAAGTCGTTTCAAAGGTTTGTCTTTTGCTTCTACCCTCAGTGCCACTTTTTTCCACTGCAGTGTTTTGACTTCACAAACCGCCTTCTCCAGAGAGAACAATGTATTGCTGAAAATGGGCAGTAGAAGCAAATGCTGTTATTACATTTGACATATAAAGTATTCAGAGTAACTGCTAGGTAGGTGGCAATTAAATTTTAGCTTTCCCCACATAGGACCTTGTTTTGCACCTTATGAAGAGTGTACTAATTGTTAATTAGATGTTGCTTTTATTTATACAAGCATTCCCAAAGAATTAGATTTGGATTTTGTTTTTATCTGAGTTTGGGACTTTTAAAAATTATCTTACTTAGATTGACTAACATTATACTTATAATAAAAAAAGAAACAGTTGTTCACTTCATCTCACCAGATCTGTCTGGTGAAGTATTCAGGGTTTGATGGACTGCTTTGCTTTAGTGTGGAAGTGATACTAAGTTCATTATACTCCATAATAAATGACCTTGTCCTTTTTACTGGGGACATTATCTTCCTTATGTTTCAGAACAAAGAAGCAACAAAAGAGTGAATAATAAGAAATATTTCTGACTCCCTCATCCACCTCCATGTGCTTATACTATGCTTCCTTTAAAAATATACATATTCTCACACACAAAAAAAATTTCCTCTACTGGCCAAATATTATTTGTGGTGGAAGAGGAAACCTTGTACTTACTTAAAAGTCCTTATGGCCACTGTTTTCTTGGGGCAGTCAGTGGTCAAAATTGATCCTGCCCTCAAATCGATTTTCTTGCACAGAACTAGTTGTGAACATACCTACTCTTTCCAAAGATTTCTTAATAGCTCGGGCCAGGACTGGTTACTGAGTAACAAGGACCTAATTCAACGCCTCCAAACCCTCCCACCCTCACTGCAAATCTTACCTCACAAGCTCTAAATCAGAGGCGTGCATGCTTCACGAACTAACACCGAGTTCTCTTTGTGGCCCCCGGAGGGGCTGGCTCCTGCCCCACTGACACCTCACATTGGTGCCTCAGGCTCTTCAGAGTGGCAGAACTGGGGCTAGGGAAGGTTCACGATCTGGAGGTCAGCACATGCTCAGCAACATTTTTCTCGTTTCATTAGCACTAAAGTCTTTTGCCCTCAGGAATTTGTCAAAGAATAAAAACCACCTGAGATTCCACATGCCAGATTATGAACTTCCTCATAGGTTTGAATTGCTTATTTGTCATGATTAATCATAGCTTCATTTGACCACCAGGTCTCAAGTCTGTTGACAGTTTCAGCATGATCGAATCGCTCATTTGTTTTTGTTTTTGTTTTTGTTTTTGTTTTTTTTGCTTTCGGAAATTGGCTTGGTTCTCTTTAGAGTTGGTGTAAACATGCCATGTAATAAATGATTTCCACTTAATGGTACAACAGAATTATTGCTTTCTTAGATGTATGTGTAGTAAAAGTCAATATACACATTTATATAATTTCTTTCTTCAAAATCTTATACTTAATTTGATATTTCTAAAAATTGCACATGTAAGTCATGTGTATAACATGCTAAAGTACTTTAACTGTGATCTTAAAAATGAATAAAAATATTTAATAAAAATTTGAAATATTTTAAAGATATTATTCAAATATATTTCTTTATGTTCACACTCCTGGCCATAGAGTATGTGCTTTCAACATGCCATGTTCACTAAAAGCAGTAGGGAAAAAACACTTTCACAAAAGGGAGCTACTTCAGAGCATCAGTGATGGTCTCCCCTAGACTGTTGGTTGGTCTGAGACCCACCGTGGTCCGATCAGCTTCTGTTGCTTTTCCCTAGTGAGCAGAAATCAACCAGACAGAAGGAAGATGTGTTTCAGCCTGCTCCTCAGGATGAGAATCCTTGAGGTACCTCCCTGTGAAAAGTATGACCTGAACATACCATCTTGCCATGAATTATAACAACTTATGGAAGTGATAGCATTCAGACCATATAAACCTAAAATATAAACTCAGACCTCAGATGTGCTGCATATGGTGTTCCTGAACCTTAGAAGCTTGAGTATGGTTTATTTTTTGAAAGCATGCATTCATACACACACACACATACACACACACACACTAGAAATACATGTATAATATAATGATATATCAAGTAGGCTTTGCATTCAGACAGGCTTGGCTTCAAATTCTGGCTCCCATTTCCCACTGGATTCTTCCACCTCTCTGGACCACACTTATCTAAACAATGATGTTGATAATACCTCCTTACACCATTGCTAAGATAAAAAGAATAGCTATGAAAGCTGGCATGGGGCCTGTAGTAGAAATGCTCATTAAATGATAATTGATTTTAATATTTTTATTCCAATTCTATGATCAATATTGAAAACACACTAAGTATAACTTTTTTAAATAAACTTTTAAGGGGCTGATACATTAGGGGTAAGCTGTTTGAGGAGATATTGGTGTGGGAAACTCAGTAGGTTAAATCACACAGCTACCTCATGCCTCTATAACACTAAAAGATCTTTCAATAAAATTTGTCTACCTAATGAATTACACTTTCTGATACTCCAATGCACTTCCTTTGAATTACTGAGAATCAAACGTGTTGTGGTGGGCTCCATACCAAAGAATATACATTGTTCGAAAAAAGGAAGGCAACAGTATACGTGTGTGGTTATATGGTCCTATGTGTATTAGACAATTACGTCTTTTGGGATAGGACGTGAAATCTCTTTAAAGGAAAAATAAAATAGTTCTTAACAAGTAAACTAAAACTAATATTACTCCATTCCATGTGTACTGAAAGAAGAGTCTTTTTCACCTTTTTGAAATAATGGGAAAACATGCAAATGTAGGCTAGCATCTTTTAGCTCCATGTACCCATTACCCAGCTTCAACCAGTAACATTTTTCTCAATTCTTGTTTCATGTCTTTTACTCATTTTTCTCCATTTCATCCCTCGACTCCAGATATGTGTATTCCAGAATTGTGACTTCATGTGTAAACATTTCAGATACGGCCTTTAAGAACAAATCTTTTGATATGAATTATTTTTCACTATTTATGGCCTCCTCACAATTTCAAAAAATATGTTTTTTTCATGTTTAAAGCAATAGGAATCCATGAGCTACAGAACACTAGTGCTGGGGCGAAGATCGTTTGGAATTAGAAAACACTTTAAATTGAATATTTCTACATTTACCTTTCTTGAGCCACAGGTAAACAGATTTTAACTTGATCAAAGAGAGCCTTTCATTAGCATTTTTTGGAGAGGTGGGGGACGGTGGGGAGGAGGCATGTATCTTTCCATGATCTTTGGTCTTTTCCAGACTTAATGTCTAAAAAGGCCCAAGTGTTAAAACTTTTATGATTTTATATAAAACTTTTATAAACTTTTGTATGTCCTTTACACTTTTCCTCCAACCCTGTTCCCACTGAGTTTTGTTCCTTCCCCAGACTTACAAGAGTGAAATCTATCGTAGGGGAGAGGTAGAGACAAAATTTTAGATGACTTCTGGAAGCCTGGTGCCAAAGATTTTTAAAATCCAAAGTTCTCAGTTAACAGGCCAGAAATTAAAGCATAAAATGAAATGCCTTGCTGAAAGAGAGAAAATAATTCTTACTTTAAGGCTCACCCTTCTTGGAGATCCCTTACCCTAGGGAATTTTACCAAAGGTCATTTTGTCTCAGGGTTGTGCATTGCAGTCAGAAGAGAAAAATGTGAAGATTGAAAGTGTCTCTAGCATAATGGAAAATGAAAGAGGAAAAGAGAAAGTTTATACAAATAGGTTTTTAAAGTTCAATATCTAGAAGTCAAAATGGTTTTAAAGCCAGCATGAAAATATTTTCAATAAGTATATTCGAGTGATTATTTTTCCTAATCTTTTCTACTATTGGGCATCATGTCTGTGGTGCTTATAAAAAGCAAATTAGATATAATTCATATTTTGTAGAAATAAACGTAGGTACTGAAAAAATATACAAACAATAGGAATATACTTGGTATATATGAAAATAGGTACTGAGTTACTGTCTATTTTGAAGCATTTATCGAAATATATTTAATAGGAAGGCAGTAGTGATAGAATTAAAATTTTTTCCTCCAAGACATAACCCTTGAGAAAAATACTGGAGAACTTTAGATGTTTTGTAAAACAGTTTTAAATTTTCACTTCTCCCGTACTATATCTTAGCTTGGGTATTTATAGCAGCATATTAAACATATAAGAGCAATATTGTTCACAAGTCGTCAAAAATCTAAACTCTGTAAAAAGAATATGAAATATTCAATGCACTGATGCTAGCGTCACCTGCATTAAACCTGTACTGTATGTCAATCAAAATCAAAACTATTGTTAGAATAAAATTGCTTAAAAACAGCCTCGTTCCACTTCTCTGTTTGATAGCCCATGAAAATTATTTTACCTCCCTAGTTTTGGAGGTAAAATAAAAAAATTCCCCTGCCCTTACCTCATGTCCGTTAAGTTGCTCATGTCTTGCTACTATCACAATCCAGTCATTCAGCAAGTGTGCATTGGATGCCTACTATTGAATACCTATGAAGTACCAACAAGATAACCTCCTGGAGGTGTACAGTCTAGTGAGGGGTTAGAGATTCTCCATTGAAATGCAACACAGATGAGGTTGCTCATGGAAATCAAAGGCTGTCAGGAAGAAGTTACAAATAAACTCGTGAAACTTGATAATAGACATTCGGAAGACTTTAAGGAAAAAAACAATGGGTATGAGTTATTGTTCCACTTTGAAAGAGTTTAATTCTTTTAAAGCTCTCTTGTACAAGAGATCTTAGCACAAGAAAAGAAGGCGCTGCTAAGACAAGGCCACAGCTGTCTGAGACTGACAAAACGTGATAAGAGTCTTTGGGGAAGATCCATGATGCAAATCAGTGTATGTTTCCTTTGTGTGTGTCCTGGGTTAGGGAACATCTGGGCTGTATTGATTCCAGGACTGATGTCGTGCAGTTAGCACATCAGCTACAGCTTTTGCATGGCCTAGAAATATCTGAAATTGTAGAGTCGAGCAGCACAGTTTGAGCATTTGGCTTTAATTGAAGAGAATTCTGGTAGCCGGATAGTGTGGTTCCCTGGCTTTCTTTTTCTTCCTTTGCTGTATCCTTCCTTCTTCACCTTAGTCCCAACTCTTGCATATTGTTGAAAATTTTTTCAGTCTTGGCATTGTTCTTCAACGATGGCACGCACACCCTTTCCTATCCCCCCAAAGCTGCTTTAGATTTCTCTTTGTTTTTTAACTTTTTTCTCCACTGTTTTTTATGCAAGGGTGAATGACTCAATAAAGCCTGTGCTTCAGGAAGATTCCTGGAGTAAAAAGGAACTAGTGATGTGTGCTGCTGCCATTTTAATTTGGGTCTAAATTTGGCATGTGAGTCTTCCTTTGCTAATCCTCAGCCTTCAAAAGGACTTTTCTACAGGAAATACCCATTTATATCCAGGACTCTGAGGGATTACTTCCCCTTTGGGTAGATTGAAGGCTGTGTATCTACTTTTTAAACACCCATCTCAGTATGGCCAAATCTAAACTCCCTTTTAGGGATCAGTAGTTAAATTCTTTTAACTCTGGAGTTATCTGCTTTAAGAAGTAAGATGATCTCTTTTATGCAAACTGCACTGTGATTTATGGGAGAATTCAGAAAGGTTTTAGAAAATTAAATAGTTAAATTCGAAGTTCATCAGGCATCTGTGGCCCCTGAAGACTGTCAATGAGATCTGGGTTGTCAAAAGATTTCACTGGTCTTTTTCCCCGACTTCCTAAAGATCTGATTTTAAGTGAGCAGGTCACATATGGAGCAACATTTCCCGAGGACCTAGCGTGTGCTGAGGGCTGTGGCTGAAACAGCAGGGAAGATCTTGAAACACTTCCACAAGCCTACCTGATATGACACCTGAAATTAAAAAAACCGTTAAGCATGCCACAGCCCTCCACAGGACACTGTTCAAACTGGAATCAGACCAAGATTTTTTTCTTTTATGTGTGGGCATTTATCCATGCGAATTGCTTTTTTTGGTTTTCTCTTTCACTCCTACCCACACATCCAATATTCCATATGCCTTCTTTTAAAAAACAAATGGTTTTCTGGTCCGGGTGTGCACTTTTCTCTTCCGAGTTGCCTTTGTGTGACATTCTAGCCTGCCACCATCGCCACCTGCTCCTCAGCCAAAGATCTATTTTAGATAGAATCTGTCCCAGCTTTTGAGCCTACTGCCAGGAGCAGTGCCAGTAATTGGTGGTGGCAAGATGAACTGAGTCATAAATTAGCTGATGAATAATATTTCCTGGGGAAGAGCAGGCCTCCACCCGCTGTCAAAGAGAAGTCGAAACCGACCACGTGGCAAGATTGCACAGCAGGTGAAGTCCTAGAAGACACCCCAGTCACAGAGCAGGAAACCGTTTTTTCTCCAGTGGTTCACCTCTCCCTGCTGAGAAGCTCTGGCTGCCATCACAATCCTCCAAGATGTGGAGAAGCCCAGGTTTTTGAAATTAAACTGCTACAGATGAGCAATGAAATCACTTCTTGGTTCCTTTTATTTTCTTCCTCGTCAATTTTATATTAAGGTTAAAACTCTTTAACTTGAATGTTAACCTCAAATTAGCT